GCTTCAGCTGGAGCTCCAACCTGGTGCAGCACCAGCGCACGCACACGGGCGAGAAGCCCTACAAGTGCACCGAGTGCGAGAAGGCCTTCACGCAGAGCACCAACCTCATCAAGCACCAGCGCTCGCACACCGGCGAGAAGCCCTACAAGTGCGGCGAGTGCCGGCGGGCCTTCTACCGCAGCTCGGACCTCATCCAGCACCAGGCCACGCACACAGGCGAGAAGCCCTACAAGTGCCCCGAGTGCGGCAAGCGCTTCGGCCAGAACCACAACCTCCTCAAGCACCAGAAGATCCACGCCGGCGAGAAGCCCTACCGCTGTACCGAGTGCGGCAAGAGCTTCATCCAGAGCTCGGAGCTCACCCAGCACCAGCGCACGCACACGGGCGAGAAGCCCTACGAGTGCCTGGAGTGCGGCAAGAGCTTCGGCCACAGCTCCACCCTCATCAAGCACCAGCGGACTCACTTGCGCGAGGACCCCTTCAAGTGCCCGGTGTGCGGCAAGACCTTCACGCTGAGCGCCACGCTGCTGCGGCACCAGCGCACGCACACGGGCGAGCGGCCCTACAAGTGTCCCGAGTGCGGCAAGAGCTTCAGCGTCAGCTCCAACCTCATCAACCACCAGCGCATCCACCGCGGGGAGCGGCCGTACATCTGCGCCGACTGCGGCAAGAGCTTCATCATGAGCTCCACCCTCATCCGCCACCAGCGCATCCACACGGGCGAGAAGCCCTACAAGTGCTCGGACTGCGGCAAGAGCTTCATCCGCAGCTCGCACCTCATCCAGCACCGACGCACCCACACGGGCGAGAAGCCCTACAAGTGCCCCGAGTGCGGCAAGAGCTTCAGCCAGAGCTCCAACCTCATCACCCACGTGCGCACCCACATGGACGAGAACCTCTTCGTGTGCTCCGACTGCGGGAAGGCCTTCCTGGAGGCCCACGAGCTGGAGCAGCACAGGGTGATCCATGAAAGGGGGAAGACCCCCGCCCGCAGAGCTCAGGGTGACACCCTGCTGGGGCTTGGGGACCCGGCCCTGATGACCCCACCCCCCGGCGCCAAACCACACAAGTGTCTCGTCTGTGGAAAGGGATTTAACGATGAGGGCATCTTCATGCAGCATCAGAGGATCCACATCGGAGAGAACCCCTACAAAAATGCAGACGGCCTCACTGCACACCCAACCCCCAAACCGCCTCAGTTCCGCTCCCCCAGGCTTCCTTTTGGAGGCAATTCCCGTCCAGGTGCTGCCGAGGGCAAGGCTGACCCTCCAGGACAGCCCTCGAAAATGGCTGATGGGCAGGAGAGCTTCAGCCACAGGCGAGGGCTGCTCTCTTCCAAGTCCTATATTTGTTCGCACTGTGGAGAAAGCTTCCTGGATCGCGCTGTGCTCCTCCAGCATCAGCTCACCCACGGCAACGAAAAGCCCTTTCTCTTCCCTGATCACAGGACTGGGGAAGGGGCCGGGCCCAGTCCCTTCCTAAGTGGAAAGCCCTTTAAATGCCCTGAATGCAAAAAAAGCTTTGGCCTCAGCTCGGAGCTGCTGCTGCACCAGAAAGTCCATGCAGGTGGGAAGGGCCAGAAGGGCACCGAGCTGGGGAAGAGCTCTTCTGTCCTCCTAGAGCACCTGAGGAGCCCGCTGGGGGCCAGGCCCTACAGCTGCTCAGATTGTGGGGCCTCCTTCCCCGACCGCCTGGCCCTTCTCCGACATCAGGAGACCCACACGCAAGAAAAGTCCCCCAGATCCGAGGACCCCCTTGCTGAGCCAGCCACCCAGTCCGTAAGCCAGGAAGAAGAGGAAGAGGCCACCACCCCCACAGGGAGCAGCAGCCAGGGGGAAGGGGAAGCCTCCAAAACCCTATTGGAAGAAAAGCCCTATTTGTGCCCTGAGTGTGGCGATGGCTTCGCGGAAGTCGCAGGCCTCCTGCTCCACAGGAGCTGCCACCCAGGGGTCTCCCTGTGAAACGGGTCTGGAGAGAGGGGGGCCTCTCTCTCCTGAGAGGAACACTGGATCACCCCAGAAAGTATGTGGGGAAAGGAGTAAAACCCTATCAGATTGTAGAGAAGTGGAGGATAAAGAACCCTGGGGTAAAAAATAGTGCTTTTACATCAGTGATGAAAAATCCTATAAAATTGTTGGTGGGAACCACTTGCAAGGCAGTAGAGAAAAACTGTTGGGTTAGAAACCCTATAAATATGTAGGAAAAAAGTTCTTTAAGTCTGTAGCCGAAAAACCCTATAAACCATAGTGGATAAAAGCCCTATTAATTGTAGGAAGAGGTCCCAATATGTCTCTAGACAACCCTATAAACCGTATCGAAGCCCTTGTGAAACAGGAGCGTCAGGGAATGGCAAGGCATAGGCCGTGGCCTGGACTGGGAGGAGTGACCCTAGGGAGGCACAGGGGAGCCTCCGAGAACCTGTGCCACAGCATCCCCGCCCACTGGAGTGGGGGGCCTGTCCCTCCCGGAAACGGAAACCTTGGACAATGACGCTGAGGAAGAGGCTCAGCTGGGGGCAGAGGGAGAGCTGGCTGGAACTGGGAAAGGAAGAAAACAAAGGAGAAAGGTGATTGCGAGGCGTCCCCAGACCCACAGAGAAACAACCCAGGAACTGGGAGGAGCAAGTCCAGCTCATTGAGCTGGAGCCCGTGGTCTACGAGGCCGGTCTTAAATAGATTGTGTATGGAATTCTGTACCAGGAAGAACCCAAATGTGGGGAAGGAAGAAAAAAATTTATCAAGGCTTTTTAAAGACTGAAATTTGAGGTGCATAAAAGTTGCAAGTGTAAGAATACTGGGAAGCCACTACAAAAAATTCAGAGGAAGCATGGGGGGACTTATGCTAGAGTGCTCTGAGGGACGCAAATCAAGGTGAACAGACTGTTCAGATGGGACCCAGCAAATCCCGAGGTTGCCCAGACTTGCCTGTTTCCAGGAGCTTTTAAACTGAAAGTGCAAGAAGACCTGGCTCAGGCTATCAGGGTTCTCCCCTGGCCAGGTGGGGTGACTCTTCTCCAGCCCGGCCGGACACTTCAACTCAGAGGCCTCCAGGGACGGAAGGTCCCCCCCCAGCCATGTTCTCAGGTCTCACTGTCAGGAGGTTTCTCCTGAAATCTAACTGCCACCAGCCTTGCTGCAATGGCAGCCTGTTTCCTCGACTTCTGTCCTCCATGGAGGGAGAGAATCGCTGCTAGTCAACCTCCAAAGAATAAAGCCCTTCAGAGACTCAAGGCCTGCGTGTGGGTAGAGCCTCCTAGACTTCACTTCTCCAGCCAATGAAAGCCGTGTGTGCATTCCCTGGCAACGAGGCCGCAGGTGGACAGAGTTCCGATTAGCAACGACCGCTCTTAAACCTCACTCACGGAGCACCTTTTTTTAGCAAGGCTGCTGCAGGATGAGTCGGCCTGCACGAATTGGGGTGTCCAAATACCCTGCAGACTGGACCGTGGGTCCCAAGGGAAGAGGCCTGGCCACTTCCTCACCTTGGGCCCTGTGAGGTGATGACCCATCCCGGTCATGGTCTTGGGAGAGAGTCTACCCACTGGCTGCTCTCCTCAGCCAGGAAACTTGAGGGAAAGCAGATGCTGAGAAAAACACTCCCTGCCAGGCCCATCTCCTGTTCTCACCACGCACACCATACACTGTTACCCACTTTCCTAACCCAGTCAAACCTGCTAACATGACTGGGTGCCTGTGGTGGTGGGGGGGAAAGACTTGCCCTATAAAATGATTGGAGAGAGGAAGCTCTCAAAACAGCTGTAACAAGATCCCCACCCCTTAGACCCGAAGACCCTTAAGGAAGGAGAGAACTCCATCCAGTGCTGGGTCCAAAAGGAGGTGACCCCACCGTGGAGTAAAAGAACTGAGATACCCGGTGAGGTGGCCTTTCATGAGTTGCATCCCTGGAGAAAGTGGCCTGGATTCCTACAAAGCTGTGGAAAGGGACTTCTGATTCCATTGCCTGGAAGTTCAAAAGGTGAAAGGCCTTCACTTTCATCTCTCCTGCCCCCAGAGGTATGACCCTGAAATTCAAAGGATCAACATCTAGAAAAGCCAGGCCTGCCTGGGAGAAGGAAAAAGGCAGGCCTCAGATGATTGTGGGGAGGGCCTTGTTAAAAAATCTAGGTGAAGTGCTGCCCCACCCCAACAAAGGGCCAGTTTGAAAGCAGTGCTGGGGGGGGGGGTAGGAACCTGCCAGCTGCATTCTGACTGTAGAAGCGTCAATGAAGGGGTGTCCCGATGAGACTGAAGAAGAGGAGACTCCTCCAAGTCAAAGTGGATTTTTTCCCCACTAAGATGGTAGCAGAAGAAATTTCAGTTGTAGAGACAAACTAGAAGCAGGTCCCCTTGGAAACAGGCTTGAGGACCCTGTTTCTGGGAGTCCCGGGCTCAGGCCTATCGAGGTGACGCTGGCACAGTCGAAGGCCTGGCGTAGGCCTATTGAGGACTAGGTGTAGCGTACGTAGATGGATGCTCGCATGTTGTAGGGATGCGTGAGCACTAGGGCTGTGGGCTCTGGTACTGAATGGATGATGTGGACACAATTAGTTGGGGTTTGGAGTTTCAGGACAAGAAAGGGGTAGATTTGAAGAGCTCTGGGGTGTGATCTGTTCTCTGTGGCCCACCACCCTGAACTCCCTTCACTAGATGCTTCCTCCCCAGAGGGAGCTATAGCTGTGCATGTGTAAAGGAGGAAATCTAGCAGGGAGCTAGATTGGAGAGACGGCAGTACCTGGCAAAGGCCCTGGGTCACGGCACTTGCCTACCCAAACTGAGTCTTGAAGTATAGTGTAGCCAAATTCCTTTGTCCAACTCCAGGCCAGCCCCAGACTCCAGAGGTGCCCGCTGAAGGCACCCGATATACAGGGTTATGGAGTCATTGGTGAAGGCAGAGGGGAGAGTAGGGCTGAGCTGAGCTAAGGGTGAAACTTGACACTGCTATGGATGTGGAGGTCAGGTTGGAACTCAGGAGAACTGGCATGAAACCTGAAGGGGGGGAAACTTGAAGCCATCACCACAGAGAGGTAGGGAGGGCTCCAGGACACCTGTCCCTGAGGTGAGCAGCTCCCAGTCTCCTTTGCCCCCATTAGGGAAGCCCAACCGAACTTGTCCCCTGGAGTGGAGAGAGGCCCCACTTTTGAGTGTTGTGTATCGATAACAGTGTTGTGTCACCGGTGGTCATGTTGATTAGTTGAAGAGAATAAAGGGATTAAGATTTCCCAGGTGTTTTCTCTCTTCTCTTTCAAGTCCTGAGTAGCTGAGAGCACCTGTCCATTCTCAGACCCAGGGACCCAAGTGTAACCTCAAGCTCGGCGCAGCCCCAGGTCACCCATGAAACTTTTTCTCAGAAGCCTAAAATCCCCATGCATGCTTGCTGGTAGGAGCCTGAGGGTTTACGGATTTTTAAAAATCCACACCATTGGGAGAAGGGGTGGGGGGGAAATGTCTGAGACGGCAGCAGACCCAAGCTGCTCTTGGTGAGTCACCGGCCAGCTCTGACCCAGAACTCAGTGCCAGGGAGGCCCCTCTGATCAACCTGCAAGCTCCCCAGACTGTCACAAGTGCCTGAGATTTAGTTCTAGAAGCTGCCCTGTTCTTTCCCTGAACTGGAGACTTCTAGACCCTGGGGGGAGGTAAATGAAAACCTGGCTTGTCATCTTGCTCTCAGGTACAGCCATGCGCTCTCACAGTGGGGAGAGGACTTTCCACAGCAAGGCAGTGAAGGAAACCAGAATGGCCAGGAGTAGGCTGTGCACCCAACCAAATCTCCCCTCCCCCAGTGCTGGGCCTGCCCAGGCCTGGCCTGGGCTCCACACTGTCTGGGCTGGCAGAGCTGCTCCCATCAATCTTTTTTTTTTTATGCGTACAAGAACTGGAGTATAGGCTAGAGGTGCGTGAGAGGATTCACCAGAGACAAAGTGGGGAGCAGACCGGGCAGACTGACAAATACACTCTGAGGGCAGGACAGGAGAGGTCTGCGCCATGTGGGTCATGCGGCTTTGGACAGCTTCCTGGTGCTGCGCTTTAACCCCTTGTGCCATGAGGGAGGGCCCTCCCATGAACCTTTAAGGCCAGGCTTGCTTCTGTACTCTCTTGGGCTATAGCCCTTGGGTGATCACTAATGTCAGTCCTTGCTCTGACCATAACCTGCCTGTCCCCATGGCTGGGAGGTCCTCTGCTTCAGCCAGGAAGTTGTCGCCCTACCTTCCCTGGCCCTTGGCCCTTGACTCCCAGGGTGGTGTCTCTGCCTCTCCCTCCCCCCACCCATGTGGGAAGCTAGGGATGAGGTGGGAAGCTAGGGATGAGGTGGGAAGCTAGGAATGAGGTAGGAAGGGTGGAGGGACTTGCCTTTCACCGACAGGTAAAAGTAACGAATTCTATTCCACAGTCCCGGTGTTCCAGCCCTGGGAGCACTGAGGTACGTCAAAACTTGTCCCGGCACAGGAAGTGTCTTCTTGTGAAGAGAGGGGCCTGCAGGGAAGGAACAGGCACTGGGCACAGGGAGTGGTTCAGGCACTCAGCAAAGGGGTTTGTGGGCTGAGAAGTGGTGCCTGCCATGGCAGAGGGGCAGGGAACTGGCTGGGAGACGTGACCTGGATTGCAGGAACCAGAAATGGTGTAGGGGCCCTGGGCGGTGGGGGACAGATGTGCAACAGAGAGGTGGGTTTGGAGCTTAGAGGGGTGGGAGTGAAAGGAAGATGGGGAGCAGGGGCCAGAGTAAGGAGAATTTGGTCTAAGGAACTCAGAAAGAAACACCACTGGGAATTTTTTTTGGGCACATGACATGGTCTTACCCCTGGCCCTCCCATGACTGGTGATGATTTTCCAGGTATGGAGCTCAGGAAAGAGAACTGGGCTGATAAGAGAGTCTGACCTTGGCAGTAGCCCTGGCCCTGGATAAACACACCCAAGGGAGTGGCAGCATAGGAAGGAGGTCTAGATTAGGGGCCTTGGAGAACCAGCAGAAGCCAGGTGTCCAGAGCACCAGGAAAGCGGAGCACCACAGGCCCAAAGGTTTCAGTGTTGGCTACTGAGGTTCCACCAGGCTCAGTGTAGTCAGGAGCTTTGTTCTGGAAGGGGGAAGGGGGAGGTGCCAGTGAGGCTGGGGGCTTCCAGGGTAGTAAGGTCAGGCCTGGGTGGAGGAGCCTGGCCAGTCTCTGAGGCAGACCCCCCAAGCTCTGAGCTGGGAGGTACAGACCCACCTCTGGGCCCTTCACGGCATCCTGCCCTTCCTGGTGCCCTGGGCTCACTAACTTGAGAAAGTGGCTTCATGCTGCTTTACTAGCTCCTCTGGGTAGGGGTGGGGCCTGGGGACACAGGTGGGGAGGGAAGTTACTTGCACCCCCTTGGAGTTCGCGCGGAGGTGACTCCTGGGGAGGGTGGGTGCTGAGGATTGGCTGACCTCGCCTGCTCCAACGCAGCTCCTCAAAGGCCCGCGTGGCTCTGTGATGCAACATGCGGCCTCTCCCCGCCCTGCCCGCGCGCCCGCCCGGCGCGACACTTCTCGCCGCCGATGCCGTCCCCAGCCTCGGCCCGGGCCTCTGCGAGCGCGCCCACGGCCGCCAGCCCCGCGCCGGAAGTCACAGCAGCCCGCGTCGCAGTCTCCAGCCCGACCTGGTGCGGCCGCGCCGACCCCACCGAAACCCCGGGCGCCAGGTGGGTCCCGAAGGCGGACAAAGCCGCGAGCCCCCAGGAAGGCGTGACCGCCGGCAGGGCAGCGGAGCAGCGTGCTGGGGCGATGGCCGACAAGCCCGCAGCCCCCGCAGTGGCGGCGGCCGCGACCGGAGCTCCAACCCAGGTCAGCACCGTCCCCATCGCGAGTGCCAGTACAACCTCGGGCGCTGCGCCAGCGGACCCCACGGCACGCTGACCCCTGACCCCCGGAGGCGCAGCACAAGGTTCGCGTGGTCATGCCCGCAGCCGCGCCAGTGGCAATGAAGGAAGTCACCTGCTTAAGTGTCCCAATCTGTGGGTCTGGCGGGAGGGTCGTCATGTGGAGCCATTGGGGCAAGGTGTGTGGGGGCGGGGAGGCAAACCTGCCTTTGCCAGCACAAATAGGTAGCCGGTTCTGTCCTCTGAAGACTCCCTCACAGGGTGGAAGGGACATTCCCCAAAACGCAGCTCGAAGCTTCCCAGCAGCCAGTGGCTGCCAGGAGCGGGAGGCCCACACAGCAGGTGGGTGGGTTGCCAGAGCTGAGGCCCTGCCGCCTTCAGTGCACTAACCAGGTCACTTCTTCCCTACACGTTACTGCGGCCCAGCCCTGGATCCCTAACAGCCTGAGCATAACTTAGGTGTATTGGGGGTAGGCCAGAGAGGGGTCTCCCTATTGTAGAAGCATTACTAACAGGGAAAGGGCAAACAGGGAAGGGCTGGGATGTGGGGCAGCAAAAACCCAGTCATGTTTAGGGCAGGAAGCAGGGCTACCCAAACCATAGGCTGACAGTTGGACATTTATTCTCAACAACAAACAGCCCACAAGGTATCTCTATAGAGCACGAACTGTGGGTCTGAATGGACCCTTGCACCTGTCAATAGCTCTACCTTCTAGGCCCCTGCGTACTGCCCTCTACAGCCCATGGACAGGCCCTGGGCAGGCCAACACAGGAACCATCACCGGTACAGGCTCAGTCACAGGGTGTCAGATGAAGCTCTTCTATCTGGAATGATCGGAAGTTGGCCCAGTGGCTAGTCTGGCCCTTCCCCTCCTGGGAAGTTCTGCCTCCACTGCAGTTAAGGCCACCAGGAAGCAAGCAGGGTCAGGTCTGGGGGGCCAGTGGAGACTTGGATGCACAATATAGACAGGTCTGAGTAGTGGAGGTTGGAAGGGGCTGATTATCTTGGCGCAGCACTCCCAAGATGAGGGCAATGTGACTGCAGCAACTAGAGCTTCCCAGAGGGACAGGCCAGCATCTCCCAGGAGGCATCTCCTTCAGCTCGGCACAACGGCCAGACCAAGGAGCCCAGGGGAACCCAGAGGGAAGCATCTCCTGAGCCCCAGGGCTGTCTCAGAACAAGGGCCCCACCCTACCCCTGTGGGCATCTAAGCTGGTAATGAGAGTCTCCTCCTGGATAGGAAGCCACAGCCTAGAGAAATCCCTGCCTTAGCCTGGGCTGGGCCTTCGGAGACAGTTAAGGCCAGCTTCCGGGAGGCTCCGCTGAGTGCGCTGGACCTTCGGCTTCTCACAGCAGGCTCTTCGTACAGGGTGGGTGTACCCAGGGCAGCTGACATGGGGAAAAGGTGAACAGAGCCTGGCTGAGCCCACACCCACCAGCATGCACAGGGAACCCCCAAACTGACTAGGTGGGGTGGGGCTAGGCCCACAGGGTCCAGAGTGGAGGGTGAGGGCCACTGGATGGGAGCACAGCCCCCAGAATCCATGGGTGTTCCCAAGTTCACTGAGTTCTGGGCTCAGCTGATGTAGACGCGGTGGAAGTCGTGGGCACCGAAGGCTGCGTTGCACTTGGGGCACTTCCTCTGGCGGGCCTCATAGCGGCCCCGCACGCACTCGAAGCAGAAAACGTGGAAGCACTTGGTAAGGACGGCATCCTTCTTGCGGGTGTTACAGCAGGGGCAGGTCAACCGTGCCTACAGAGGCATAAGTACCCACTTAGGAACAATGCTGACGGCGCTGCCCAGAACCCAAGCCGACAGCAGATGATCCAGGCTATGCCCACCACACAGCAGACTGTACCACAACCCCGAGAAGCAGGCGAGGTCTCAAAGTCAGAAAGCCACAGAGCCGGCATTTTAAATCCAGCAGTGCTGGCCTGAGATCACACTTCCTTTCAAGTGGCCCAGTTTCAGCTCTACTCTGCTCTGAGGCATCTTCTCTTGCCCCTTGGTCACTAATAAAGCCCTTATCCTGGCTTTAGCCAACTATCTTTGCTCCAGCTGCACCCAATCCCTGCTGGGATTGCAGTGCCACGAGAAACGTGCTTCTCCACCCTCCAGTGGGCTGCCAGAGATCCTGCTTGGGTCCCAGGACCACCTAACCTGAGACCTCCCACTTGCTACCGGGTCTTACCTCCAACTCCAGATAAGAATTCCCTAACTACTTCACCCCCGGCACCCCTCCTCTGCCCTGGCTGAGATGCCGGCCCAGCCCACCCCCTCAGCAGTGAGCCGCATCACCTCTCCCCTAGCTCTCAGAGCCCTAGTGCAGGCATCTGATGGGCTCAAAGTTGGTCTCGACTCCAGAAACCCCTTCTGCCTCATCTGCCTTTATGTCCAAAGTTCTTCAAAAGGTTTTCTCCATCCTCTTTTCCTGTTGGTCAAAGTGCAGGTGATCCTGACCTCCGTCTTGCCCTTTCCAAGAGCCATTCCCATGAAGACAGCTGCTGAAGCTGTGGGGCATCTCCCCATTCAAGTTCACTTGCCTTCATGCAGCTCTGACTCAGCTGACCCCTGCCTCAGTGAAACTTCTATCATCTCCCCCTGTACCAATCTTCCCTCCCCCATAGGCTTCGCTTCCTCTGTGCTTTTCTCACCCTCTCTGGGTGACCAGTTACATGGTCACCCAGAAACTTCCCCCTCTGCTTCTGCTAATAATTCCCAAGCCTCTGGTCCCCAGGCCTGCCCCTGAGTTCACGTGCTTTCCCAGACAGCTTCCCACAAGGTCCCAGACACTCCGCACCCTTGCAGAGCCCACCAAACCTGCCCCTCCAAAGTCTTTCTAATCCTACTAAATGCTATTTGTCATGCACCCAGTTTCTCAAGTAAAGAGCCCAGTTCTCTCAAGTACCCCCGTTTCCTCACTCCAAGCACTTGACCCACCTCTGAGCCTAAGCACTTCTGCCTCCTACGTATGTCCTGAGCTCACTGACTTGTCAGACACCTCAGGCTGGAGCTCAGCATCAGTTTCTGCCTCCAGGACGCAATCACTAGGCAAATCCCTGCACTCACCTTCACTCCTCTAGCCAAAATGCAACCGCAAAGTGGACCGGGTCACACTGGTTGAAAACCCTCTGCTGTCCCCACAGTAGCTACAGAAAGTCAAGCAGTGCTGGCTGGTGTACCAAGCCCTTCGGGCTCTGGCACTCCAACGCCTCCTCCCACTTCCTGATCACTGCAAAACCCGCGTTCGCATTTCCAACTACAGGCTCTGGTCCATCCTTCCCTCAATGGCCCTCACCTCTACCTTTTCCTTTGCCAGAACCCTCATCCCTATTCCTCATAGTCAATCCTAATTCATTCTTCAGACCTCCACTGAAAGACAATCCTTCCAGGAAGCCTGCTAGGCACAGGGGTGGTTCAAAGGCTGCCCCTCATTTCCCAGGACCCGCTCATCTGTCACCACTCTGCTTATCACGCAGATGGGAGAATTACTGGGCCTGCCTCCTCCAACGGGCGGTCAGTTCCAAGAGCTCTAAGACCAGACGGTGTTCCCAGCCCTCTGACACCCAGCCAGGCACGTGGTTGGCCCACAGTGTGTGCACATTAAGTGCTCAGCTGTGTGAGTCTCCACAGCGTTCGTTCTGACCCCTTTCTGCTCCCCTACCTTATTTCTAGGGTCCCAAGACCCGTGATAGCTCTCACTGGTGACAGGCCAAGAACCTGCTCGCCCAGTTCATCCCTCTCCCACAGCTCTCAACCCCCTGGCCCCACCTTGTACTCTTTGATCTCTTCCTGGAGGATCTCATCAGCATCTGCGTAAACCTCCACCTTCCTCTGCTTCTCCAGCTTGCGCCGCAGCCGTGAGATGTCCTCCTAGGGAAACAAGGGACTCGGTTTAGTGCAAGGGTCTGCGTCCTGAAGCACCTGTTCCCGATTCACATCAGTGACCCTGAGCTTCCCCCAGCCCTATTCCTATGCAGACACACCTGAGCTCTCTTGAGGTTGAAGCTCTCTTTCTCTCGAGCAGCCCGACTCTCTGCCAGGCAAGGCTGGATCTCTCGCAGTCGTGTCTGTACGTGTTCCAGCTGCACCTTCAGGTCCTCAGCCAGCTGGGCGGCTTCCACAGCCTGAGGTAGGGTGAGAGGGAAGAGAGGCAGCACTCTCCTGAGCCCGGGCAGTCAGGCATGTAGAGCTGTGTGTCAAATGTTCCAATGATTTCTGGTTTTGGCTCAAGTCCAGTATCTTCACCAGAGAAAATCTGTCTCCTCACATCTCAACCATCACCTCCTCTTAACCTCTCTCATACTGACATATCCAGTTCCTCCTTGGCTCCCTCCTGTCCTGGAGGCTTCACAGGGCTTTTCTCTCTGCTTCCCTCAATATCCACTCCCCCCGTATATACCCCTTGCAACTACCCCAGGCCTCAGCACAAATGTCACCTAAGAAAGGCTCTCCTAGTTCTTTCACAGCTGTTTGGTTTCCCTCATGGGACTTAATGTGATACATATTAACATTATTTTATCTGTGGGGTTAAGGGGTTTGTCTCTGCCCCTCAAATCAGAAGCTCCCACTTCCGGTAGGATCCCCTTATTCACACGGTCTCACCAGTCCCCAGACAGGGCCTGGTGTACAGTTAGGACATGACACTGCTCACATGAATGGGTAAACTGAATGAGACTAAAGCCGCAGAAATTAAAGAAAAGGAAAATCAATGTTAGCCTTAAACGATCAATGAGTGATCAGATGTGGGGCTGGGTTTGAAATCTAAATTCACTCTTTCTTACATAAGCAAGTTGACTCCCCTGAGCCTGTTTCTTAACTTACAAAAAGTGGTAACAGCAACCACTGTAGGACCACTATGAGATCAGCTGAACACAGCATCTGAGATGTGACCAGGCCACGCGAGGAGGCAGAGCTGGGCTTCAAGCCCCCAGGAAGAGTCAGACAATGAGGCTGGGAACCAGCATTCTGGGTTGTTCTCCCTTTAGGCCAGGCTCACCTTCCTCTTATTGAGCTCCAGGGCCTGGCTGCGCAGCGTCAGCTCTTTCTCCACACCCCCAAGGCTGCCCTGCAAAGCTCGCTCTTTCTCCTCCAGCTTCTGCACAGTCAGCAGCTGGGCATCCACCTGAGGACAACGGGGGCGACTCAGTGCAGGCGAGTGCCTGCCTCTCCAGCTCTCCCTGCAAGCCCAAGGTAGCCATACCTGGGACTTGAGGCCAAGAACTTGCTCGCCCAGCTCATCCTTCTCCTCCCGCAGCAGCTTGTGAATCTGGTTGGCCTTGATCCGCTCTGACATCAGCTTAAAGTTGGCATCATCCTTTTCCCGCAACTGCTGCAGCAGCCGCCCATTCTGCTCCTGCATGTCCTCAAAAGCTTGGCCTGTCACGTCCATCTCCGACAGCAAAGCCTCTTCTTCCTGCAGCATGTGGGCAGGGCCAAGATGGAATGTGATAGAGAAAAAGGATGACCACGGGACAACCGCAGGAAAATGTGTCTAAGCAAAGAACCACAGAGTGCACCCAGGCCAACTGCTAGAAACATATGACGGGGAGTTGAGAGAACCCCAACGCCTATAAGATAGGGGGTCTAAAGGGCTGCACCTGTTTGGTAGCACCCAGCTTGCGCTGTAAGTGTTCTATCTGCTCTTCTGCCTGCCGAATGCGCCGCAGAGCGTCTTCATCTGCAATTTTCTTGCTCTCTCTTCGATCCCTCTCTTCCAATTCCCGGATGCGGCTCCGCAGTTCATCAACCTACAGTCAGCAGGAGGACGCTCTTGTCTTGCATACTGCCGAGGGGCTCTGCCTCGGGGCACCCCTCTGAATGCACCATGAGCCCCACCTGTCCTCACCTCAGCCTTGGCTTTGCGTTCAGCGGCCATGAGCTGCACCTTATCCCGCTGCTCCTTAGGCGCCGACTTATACATGTCCAGCAGCAGCTTCATCTCCTTCTGGCTTTCCTGGGCTTTCCTAGGATTAGGCACAGGAGGAGGCTTGGTGATAGGGCTGGAGACTACTTGGCAGGGGTGGGAAGGAGACAGGAACAGGGTCTCACTTGAGCTCCGCTCGCAGACCTTTGAGGAGTTCTGATTCCTTTCTCTTGGCGTCTTCCACCTTGGCCTTCTCCCGATCAGCCCTGGAGAGAGCTGAGGCTACAGGTGGGGGTCCCAGGCCAGGCCCTTCCCGCTCTCGAAGCTCCCGCTTGGGCCTGGCCTCAGGTTCTCGGCCCCGGGAGGAAGGGCCCTGGGGCCCAGGGGTTAGGACTTGGGCCTCTTCCTCAGAAGGGACGAGTTCCTCCTTCTTCATTGAGGTAGTAGTGGTAGCAGCAGGCGCTGAAGCCACCTCTTTTCTACTGTCAGGGGCACTGACAGGGACTGGCCCACCCTCTTCTTTCCCTGGGGCTGGGGCACTGAGTCCAGAGTCCTCTGGGTGGCCCAAATTGGGGACGGAGTGGGTAGAGCCGCTGGCCTGAGCCCGGAGCTACAAAGACAGAGAAAGAACAGGGTTTAGTTGAGACAGTGCTCACTGGGGTTTAGCTGAGGCTTTTCCAGAGAGCCCCTGCTTCACCTTGCCAATTTCTGCCTGCACTTCCCGCAGCTTCCGCTTGTATCTCTGGGCATCCCCCTTTAGCTGGTGGTTGTGGTTTTGTAGGCTGCTGATCAGGTGCCGCATCTCACGGTTGATAGGCCCTGGTGGGGAGAGTTGGGAAGGAGTCAACAGCCCCCATTGGGGGTCGCACCCTCAATGGAGGAAGAAGCAGTCATACCCATCACCCCCAATATGAAGAAGAGAACAACTAAGGTCTTCAAAAGGAGTAGCTCATGAAAGTAAATAATAAAAAACTGAAAAGAATTCACCCAAAAGTAATTTGGCTTTGCCTTTTTGTGTTGATTCTGTTAATGTAGGCTTTCTAAATACTTCCAAGTTTCATTCAAAGGAAACTAACACTCACAATCTACTTCTTCAGCTGGTCTACCGTCTCAACTTCTCCATTCCGTGGCCTCCCCAACCAAAACTGCAACAGCCTTCCTGCTACACTTCATGCTTCCTTTCCTGCTTTCTCTTCCATACGAGGCCTATCGATACCCAACATACAGATGCCACCTTCCTTTTCACTGTTTTCCCCACCATGACACTGTTTCGTAATAGCAGGGGTTCTGTGTTTTGTTCACTGGCATAGTCCCAAAGCCTAGAGCACGCCTAGGGTCCTAGATGGCATTCAAAACTTTTTTGTAAAATGAACAAAGATCTCAGCAAGACACCCGAGGGCCAGAAAACCAGACAGGGCCAGCACTTCATGCTCTGGCAGAGCCTGTTCTACTTGCCACCTTGACTGGCTGTGACATTCACTGTGCTGGAGTCAGGGGCTGTGGTTCTGTTTTCAACTAGGATCCAAAGCTCTGAGAAGGAAAGGGGCCTAACCTCTTAGTGCGGATAAGCAGCAGCCCCACCTGTCTCGGGTCCCAGCAGTCCCACCTAAGGCCCCACCTCCACCCCGTCCTCACCACATACCCGCCTGCTCGTTGGCCGCCAGGTTCTGTTCAAACTCGATGCGCAGCATCTCGTACTCCTTGCGTACCTGGGCCAGCGTGTCCTCCAGCTGGATGACCTCTGTGCGCAGCTTCTTCTGCAGCCCCAGCTCGTCACTCTATAGATGAGGTATTAAGGGCTTACACAATCCCACAGACGCTCCAGGCCCTCAGTAACTCTACTCCCCCCAACTTCAGGCCTCAGTGACTTAGGAAGAATTTATGGTCTGGGGAGCTCTGCAGGCACAGAGAGTCTCTGAAGTCCAGGAATGCCATGACTCCCTGGCTAAAGACCTGGCCCTAAACCCCAGCCTCTACCCACTCCGGGTCATACCTCCATGTGCTCAATGTGTCTCAGGTGGGAGTTCTTGGTAGCGAGCAGCAGGCCCCTGGCCTCATCCAGCTGAGTTTTCACTTGCAGAGACTCATTGTAGAGCAGCGAGAACTGGGCCTGCAGCATTCGGTACTCTCCCGTCTCCCGCACCACCTCCTCAGGAAGGCTCCGCAGGGCCACCTGGAGATGCCCAGCGTGGTCAACCAGTTTTCAGGGCTTAGTGTCTACCTTGCAGGGCCAGGCTACCCCACCCACACAGCCCACCTTGAGGCGCTCATTTGTCCGCACAGCCCCCTGAAGTTCAGCCTGCAGCTTCTCCAGCTCTGCCATGCGGCTGTTGGCCAACTCCTGGTTTTCTTCCAACTCCGCATTCAGCATCTCAAACTATGGAGCGGGAAGCATCGTGGGAGTCAGGGTAGTCAACATGCTTTCCTCTCTACCTGCCCCACCCACACGCCCCATGTAGAGCACTGAGAGATTCCGAACCCCTGGGGATAGGCCAGATAAAGGCATTTTCCTAAGGGCTTTAAGGCAAGTGGCAGAAAATTCAACACTATGTGGTCAGTGTTGGAAAGAAAGGTTCATAGCTGAGAGAATCCGGGAAGTCTTTCTGGAAGACCTAAAGAGCAACCTGAAGTGAGGGCAAACAGCACAGTAGCCCCCAAAGTACCCAGAAAATTCAATGACCAAAAGGGGAGAGAGTATAGGCAAGGTGAGGATTGGTTAAATGGACTCTCTCAGTGAAGCCCTCAGACACCCGGCTAGGGCCAGTTTCCTATAATGTACTTCCATTGATCTTTTTTTTTTTTTTTTAAAGATTTATTTATTTGTGTATACAGAACTGGGGTACAGGCCAGAGGCTCAGGGGCGGCGAGAGGCTTCACCAGAGACAGAGCTGGGAACAGAACAGGCAGATCTACGAAGTACACTGCTGAGGGGAGCAGCGGGCGGGCCAGGAGAGGTCTGCCACGCCATGTGGTCACCTCCGGGGCAGGCGGGGATCGAACTTGTGCGGAAGCGGCCTTAGATTCTCAGTGCTGTGCTTTTAACCCGCTGCGCCACCAGGGAGGGCCCCATTGATCTTTTAAAAAATTTTTAAGAGTCATTTATTTATGCATACAGAACTGGGGTACAGGCCAAAGGTGTGGTGGGGGAGAGAATTCACCAGAGACAGAGTGGGGAGCAAAACAGGCAGATCAACAAAATACACAGCCGAGGGGGAACAGCAGGTGAGACAGGAGAGGTCTGGATGTGGGTCACCTCCGGGGCTGGGGATACAACTCATACAGAAGCGCCTGTGGTGGCTTGCAGTGATGCACTTTAACCCGCTACACCACCCGGGAGGGCCCGTTCTTTTTAAAAACAATTTTGAACACTTTAAAAGGATGTGTTCATTAAGAAAAGGAAAGGGCAAGATGCAAGATGACACTTGCACAGACACAAGTTGGCAGAGAGAGCTGTTGCTGCTGCTTTGCAAAGGGAAAAGGTTTGTGCAAAGAAATGCCTGCACAGTGGACAGCTCTCCGTCCACTGAGCCTTTTTGTGGTAGTGTACCCACAACTTGTCTGTTCCCCCGAATGGCATCTAAGCATGAAAGCTTTGATTTTTTTCTAATTTTGTTTTACAAAACATTCCTTTTTCTTAGTAGGGTCCAACATTTAGTAGCCAGTAAGTACATAGTAAGTACGTATATAAATGAATAAATCAAAAAGCAGCCCGAGCAACACGCCCTCAGAGACCACACCTGGTGTTTGTCCATAATACTGAGGGGGATTTCAAGGGTGGAGGTGGAGTAAAGATCGTGGGAGGGACTCGAAGCTAGATGGCTGCTCACCTTCTGCATGTTGAGTGTGATCTGGCACCTCTGGGGGCCCGAGGAGCTCCCGGACACATAGTAGCCAGAGTTGAGCTGTGGAGAAGAGACAGGCAGACAGATAGGAGTGGGAGGAGGAAACCAGGGCCCTAAGCACCCAGCCGTGGCTCCTTCTGACCCAGAGGCCTAACCCTACCTGCTCCAAGGCCTCTGCCAGGTGTTTATTGAGCTTTTGTTCACGCTTGCGCAGCTTCTCAATGTCCCACTGCAAGTCCTCTACTGTAGTTTCCATCTCCAGCACCTTGGTCTCTGCTGATGTCACTTTATCTTGGAGCTCAGAGTACTGAACAATGAAGGATGCAGACACTTCGATGAGGCAACTTGGTTCCCTGAGATCCTCAGGTGCCCACATGCTGTCATGGTTCTAATCCCATACCCGCAAGAGGCCAATTCCCACCTCCAATGAGATTCGATGATGCTTCTCCTGCAGTTGGGTAGCCAAGTCCTGTAGCCGCCGGTTCTCACGGCCTAACTCTCGGGTACGAGCCCGAGTCACCTCACCAGGAGGCTCACTGTCCCCTGGGAAGGTAGAGCTCAGGTAAGCGTCAAGTTCAAGGCAATGGATATTAATACACTAATGTATTAACTCACTGTGGAATCTACTATGTGCACAGTTTGAGTACCAAATATTTTGCTGGTCTTTCATGACAAAGTCAAAAATCTTGATCCTCACAGCAGAAACCAACTCAGAGAGAAGAGGAATTTTCCCAGAATGCCAAGGTTAGAGTGATAAACTAAGGTGAAAGGACGCTAGAAGCCTGCAAGCCTGGGCACTTACTGCTATGTCATGTGCCTCAGCAACTGCCACCAAAATTTGTGCTAAGTGTTCCAAAGAGGTCATCAGCCAGAGGGGGCTACCCCACCAGCATCATATTAGCGACTTCCACTTATCTCTCTCAGAGTTAACTCTAGGATCAAAGCCAAAGCCCCCACCCTAGCCCTTGTCCTGAGAACACAGCTGATTTGTGTTTTGGGGAGTTTGGGGGGGGGAACTACAAAGATGCAAATGGAGTGGGGTGAGGGCACAAAGAACTAACCTCGGCTGTATATTCGCTGACAGAGTTCTTCCACCCGGCGCTGCAGGCGGTCTGAGGCCTCCACGACCCGGGACACCGCTGCCTTGGAGAACTCCATACGGCCTTGCAGCTGCAGCTCCACCTCCTCACTACTGCTGGCACCCAGAGCCACCACAAAAGCCAAGGCTGGCTCGCTCAGAGGGGGCCGCAGCTGCATTGGCAAGGGATCTGGGAGGGGTGGACAGACCTTCATGAGCATAACAGCAGCAGTTACCACCTCTGTACCAAGATCCAGATCAAATCCTTCAACATTCTACTGCTCACTGAGTCAACACAACAACCACCTAGAACAAACTGTTATTTCCCCATCTTGAAAACCACCGACTTTCAGGATGCAAAATAATTTTCTCACAGCCAAAGCTCCTGAATCACTCCTTCAAATAAGTCTTTGCCTTCCAAATTTACATTAGAACCACACACACTAATTTCCTTTCAGAGCACGCTATTCTTGTTATGTATGGCTTATAATCACTTCCTTCCTGATGAAACATTTTTTGGGCTTATCTTTGCTTCTTCTTGCATATCTAGAACAGTGTTGAGTATATAGTCACCATTCAATATTAATACCTTCCTGAACTAATGTCAAAAATATGAGTTACACTATGAAGCAAGTCACTCATATTCAAAAATGTGTTCTTAGTCCCTAAACTTGGCTGCCCAAATATGAAATCAACTTTGTGTGTGTGGAAGGGAGAGCAGAGAATTCAGGAGTTTAATATCAACTTCCCCTCTTCTCTGAGACCCAGAATGTAATTAAGCTCCCCAGATCCTAGGACTCTGGCCCTACCCCTCAGCTCCGATGTCCCTGGCTCTGTGAGAGGGGTCTCATCATGTGTTGGCCCCTCCTGGATTCCAGGCGCCTCTGTCCCTGAAGACAGCTCCGCCTGGCTTTCATGGTGTCGAAGAAGGGCTTCCACAGTTTCATCCAGCTGAAGGGAGAAAGCACCAAAAATATTAGGAATCCCTCAGGTGCTTTCCAGCATGATACTCCTTTCCCGGGAGAGAAGCCTGAGGACTGACAGCTGATCAAGGCCAGGTACTGGAAAGCAGAGAAGCATCCACCTGGGCCCAGTAGCGATTGACAATGAGGAGTGTGGCATCATCAGTGGCCTGCCGCTTCTCCAGCTTCTCAATCCGTTCCCGGAGTTCATCTTCACAAGCCTGTCGTTGTTCCAATCGCTCTGCTAGTTTCTTGTTCTTGAACTGCAGAACCTTCAGGTCCATCTCCTCCTACCATGGAAAATAAAAGGGCCAAGATAAAGGTCAAAAAGGACCCAAGAAACCAATCAGAGAGCGAGGGAACAGAAACTGGAATGGGAGAGGAAAGTATCCCCAGACTGTTAACAGGCATGAGGCTGTCTCAGAACAAATGGGACAGAGCCTGTATTGACCCTGCACGGAGGAATAATGCCAGACACCAGCAGAAACATCTTGGTGGTGAGGATTTACATTCTATTTCTACGTCTTTTTAACCCTAAAGTCTTTGACAAGTCATATACCCTGAAGCTTTCCCTGTCCGTAAACGAAAGGCAGCCTCTGTCCTCATGCCCCCTTTAACAGTGTATCAAGCGGAACGTGATACAGTTTAGGGAACTGGGAGTAAGGTTCTGGACGATTTGGGAGAACAGAGGTGCGAGTTTGGCAGGCTGAGAGGGCTGGGGCAGGAGTCTACAAACCGTGGAAGAGATGCCTCCGAGACGAATGGGCTCTATAAGTGTGGTTGTCGTCTTTTCCTCACGGCTCAGCTTCTCTGGAGGTCCAGAGCCCCCGTCGCCCGCGACGCGTTTATTGCCGGGACCAGACATGGCCGCAGTGGCGAGGACCCGTGCAGGGTCCGCCAAGGGAGGTCAGGCAGGCGGAGGCCGCACTTCCGTCCCCTGCATGGGATAAGAAAGCAGAGATGTGGAGCCCGCCCTCTGTAGAACCGAGTCTCCCCGCTTACACAACTGATGGACGTCGACCCCGACAGTCCGAGCCCCTCACCAGAAGCAGGATCAGCCCAGCACCGCCATCTTGGACCTCACCGGACGTCACCAGCGTGCCCCCCACAGAGCGCAGGCGCCACAGGCGGTGCCGGATGCCGCGAAACTTCATTTCCTGTTTCTATTGGTCGCTCTTTGTCCCGCCTCTCTGGCTGGGTTTACTTTCTTCCCGAACACCTCTTCTTTCTCTCTGTGATTGGCCAATAGACAGTTCCCATGGTAACTGACACCACACATTCCAGTCCTAATAACAGCGCTCGCCCCCAGTCAGCAATTTTGAAGAGGGCAAAAAAGCAGTACCTTGCAATTTGTTACGCATGCGCATTCTCTCCGCACTGATTGGTGAGCACCGTACACTGTACACCTCCCTTGGTGATCCCCTTAGCAACGGTGGCTGCGCCACTGAAGCTGTCCCAGAACCGAGACGGGGCCGAGCCTGTGTTGACCCGCGGCACGGAGGAACGACGCTAGAAGTACCGAAACTGCCCTCCTCCAGAAGTATCACCGATTCCTGGGACCGAGGATGCAGCCGGAGCTAGAACAGACCTCCGAACTGCAGCTGGAACCAGAGAGGGACCTCGGCTCAGTGGGTGAATCGGCCTCGCGGATGCGAACAGTAACAAGGACAGAGTCGGGGACTGTAGAAGCGGATGAAGATCCTGCAGCCAATTTGTTCCCGGTGAGGGCGGGACAGATTGGTAAATTCAGGAATGTTTATAAAAGGGCTTCTCAGGAGGGCGTCACTCCTCATTATAGTAACATCCTGGACGTTTCCCAGGCTGTCTTCGTGAAGAGACAGGGTGTGCATTACCCCACTGCTAATGTTGCTGGTGGATAGAACATAGGGCTTGCCGAAGCCCAGCCTGCCGAGCAGCCGGCATTGCTCATACTTAGATGAGAAGGCAAGCTTGTGTGTTCTCAGGCCCCCTGGACGGGCGACAGGCCAGGGACTAGGCAGGGAAGATACTGCTCCATACTTCTCCGCCTTCCCCAATTCGCTTTTTCCTCCCCCCCGCAGCCCCCGCTGCCCCAGCCTCGGATCTGCATGTGGTGAGTGCGAAGAGCCTGGCGGGGCGTGGGGTGGAGGTGGGGGAGTTGTAATTCACACTTGCATTGTTTAGTCCCTCCCTTGATGCTCCCTGACCCCAGCAGAACTGTCAAATTGCTAGGGCATCCCCATTTTTTTTTTTAAAGATTTATTTATTTGTACATACAGAACTGGGGTACAGACCAGAGGCTCAGGGCGGTGAGAGGTTTCACCAGAGACAGAGTGGGGAGCAGAAAAGGCAGATGGAAGTACACTGCTGAGGGGAGCAGCAGGCGGGTCAGGAGAGGTCTGCCTCGCCATGTGGTCACCTCCGGGGCAGGCTGGGATCGAACTCATGCAGAAGTGGCTTTAGCTTCTCAATGCACTGCTTTAACCCGCTGCGTCACCAGGGAGGGCCTAGGGCATCCCCATTTTATAAAGAAGCTGTTGCCTAGAGATGCGGTTTTTCTCCAAAGGGAGATTATGGGAAGAGGAAAGTTAAGCCTGAGGATGTAAATGGAATGTCCCGGCTGCTGTGAGGCGCTATATACTGGAGACACTGAAGCCCACAGGGGGAAAATTTGCCCAGAGCCATACAGCAAAAGGAAACAAAACTCAAGTTTCCAAACTCCAGGCTTGATAAATGTCATGAGTTCACTTAGGCAACATCCCCTCATTTACTGGAGTGAGGCCCAGAGAGGGAAGGGACTTCCTTGAGCTTACACAAGTTCATGGAAAGGCCAAGCTCAAATACGAGGACTCCTGGTTACCACTCCAGTGCCCTAGTTATCATAGCCCTGCTGTGAAACTTAGTGCATAATGGCCCCCAACATCTCTCTCCTCTTTTCCTATCACAGGAAGTACCTGGACATCCATTCCATGCATAGGCTGGAAAAGACAGCGAACGTTGAGGAGATGAGGGAGTATGGGGGGCCCAGTGGGGGAAGAAGAGCTCTAGGGGAAGGCCAAGGGAGGTGGGCTGGGGAGGCATGAGGAATGCCTGCCTCCCAAAGCATGTGGTACACTAGTGTGGGGTGGTAAAGTGAGGCGTCCGTCCTTCCTTCCTCCCTCCCAAGGGTGCTGGCAGAACTGCTGGGGCTAAGCTGTCCTGAGAAAAGCCCACAGGAAGCCATCACCCTGGACCTCTTCTGCCATGCACTCATCTTCTGCCGCCAGCAGGGCTTCTCACCAGAGCAGACATCAACAGCTTGTGCCCTGCTCCAGGATCTTCACAAGGCCTGTATTGGTGAGAGATGGCAGCTACAGGAGGGTTTGAATCCAGGGAAAGGGGGAAGCAGTAATGACATGTGAATACCACCTGGAATTTTGTCATTACACAGTATTATCATGTATAACTTATTTAACTTTTGAAGTCTTCCATTTATAAAAGGATCATACAGCACTTTTTGAGACTGAGGAATACATATAAACATATACCCAGTGCACAATAAAACAGCTCCTGCTACCATTTTTATTTCCAGTTCTGGTTTTCTTCAGAATGTTTAACAGGAATTGAAATCATGTACTACTTGACTTATTGTCCCTTCCACTAGAAGGACTTTGTGTTTTGTTCAGTGCCTAGAACAGTACATTATGGGTACTTGCTATTTATTAAATGAATTAAGAAACACATTGGTTTGTCCACTTCTGAAGCTCATGCCCAGTCAGTAGCTGTTAGTGAGATGAGAGCATGATGAGCAGGGAGGGACTCACTGTCAATGTTGCTTTCCCTCCCAGCAACACCCTTGGGCAACGTGGAGGAATGTTACCGCTACTTCACCAGTGTGCTCTTTTGCCATGGAGTCAGGGTCAGTTCCCCTGGAACGGGATCTTCATTCTGCCTCTGACTAGGTCTAACCAGTCTCCCGCCTACTCTCACACTCATCATCGTCCCCATCTTCCCCTGAAGGCTGCAGTGGGCTCTCCTGAATTGCCAGGCACTTGGAGAAAAGGCCAAGGCTTCAGGAGGCCAGACCTCTAATTCCCCATCATCCTCACAGCGGCCCCCCTTCAGTATCAACCTCTTTAAGGAGGAACAGCTGCTGGCACTTGCAGACTATGTGGTTAATACCTACTTCCGCCACTTCAAGCTCTACAAATATGTTTTTACACCTCAGGTACTGGTAATGGGCTACAACAGCCAGCCCTCCCTCAGTCAGATGCCCTCCTCCTTTCAGCCACCCTCTTCCCTCTTCCCAGGTGCGGCTGGATCTATCTTTGACTTACACGGGGCTACTGCCACCCAAGCTCTCTCCAGAGGGTGAGACCGGTAAGGAAGTCTGCTGGGGCTAGGTTCCACAGGGGAGAGGGCTGGGTGGGCTGCGACTGAAGCTGAAGCCTCTTCCTGCTTTTGGTTTATAGAGGAAGAAGTTGAGGAGGTGGAGGAGGAGATAGTCATCCCAAAGGAGGAGGAAACGGAAACAGTGGCCGAGTCACAGCAAGAGCCAAGTGAGGACACCCAGAGGGCTTAGGGTCCCCTGTAACTTTGGGCAGGTGTAACATGAAGGGTTTAGATCAGATCAGTTCTGAAGAACTGGCAATCAGTCCCATATTGCCAAGTGATTCCTTAAGCAGAAGCCCAATATAATAAATAACAGATGGGAGTATAGCAGCTTGGAGTTAGAAGCTCCACAAAAGGGTAAGTAGTTATCAAGTTGATGACAGTAAGAGCCAGCACATACTTGCAATATTATATGACAAGCGGCCTGTTCTTAAGCATTTAATGTTTATTCAGCTACTAAATCCTCCCTCATTGTAGATGCTAGGGGTCATCACTATCTACCTTTTAGGTTAACATAACCTGCCTAAGATCACATGGCTACTAAGTAGCAGTCCAGAAAGTCTGGCATAGCCTCTGCCCACTCCTCTCTCAGGAGGGCTGGCTGACCTTTCCTAAATTGCAGCAACACTGCAAGCCTGGGTAGCCAGCAGGGACACCCAGGTTGTATTTGCCTAGTGAGGGGCAATCCCACGGTCCCAGAAAATATCTCTCCTGATAGCTCCTTCTCTGCCCCTGCAGGCCAAGTCTCCTTCCTGCAGGCCTACATCAAGACCCAGCTGACCAAGGAAGTGGAGCAGCTCCAACAGCTGGTAGAGGAGCAGCTCAAGGCCAGTGAGGAGAGGCTCAGCAGCAAACTGACCACACTAGAGAGGCCCTTGCAGTTACCTCCAAGCAAAGGCAAAAACAAGAACAAGTGACCCCCAGTATTGCCCCCAATAAAGTCCTGGGCTAGAGTGGCCCCATCCCCGCCCCCCTCCTGAGCACCTTCTGGGCTTCCCTGCTGAAGCCAGATACCAGACAGCTTTCCTATCACGAAGCAGGCTTTATTGCATAGCAGCTCTGACAAGGCTGGGCATGGCATTCTGAGTGGCTTCCTTCTACCTCAGCTCTGATCTTAAAGCCTTGGCCAGTGGTAACAGGTGTGCAGGGCCGATCTTTACGATTAGAGGTGCGCCTAGCCAGGCTGGGGGCTTGAGACCAGAGCCCAGAGGGGCTGGAATGACAAAAATTCTCCTAGAGAGTCCTCAGGGCTGAGAAGTTAACCCAGTACCAGCATGGCCTCATCTTCAGTGATGGGAGCCGAGTCTCCCTCCTCTTCAGTGCCCATAGTGGGAAAAGGTCCAGGGGGCCGGTGCTGGAAGAGGGCCGCCCGGTTCTGCTGCTCACCCTTCTTCACCCAATGCCCATAGAGTCGGAAGGCACAGCTGTCGATGAGGCGCCGCACTGGACGCAGTGCGTAAGGGTCTCTCAACAGTGCGCTTTTGGTCAGCGGCCGCACACGTTGGGTGCTTAAGGCAACTCGTCCAGCAGCAAGCACCGTCCACACTGCCACCTGGAAGGAGGCCAGTGTGAGTGCCAGGGGAGCATCCATTACAGGAGAAAAGGATCATGGGACAGAGGAGCAGGCCCTGCCACTCTGGGGCTTACCCGGAACCGCTGGCGGGGGGTGAGATTCCAAGGTTGGCTGCCTTCACAACGCTCAAAGAAGGGGTGTTGTAAAGCTTGCTCAGCTGTCAGGCGCTCCTCAGGATTCACCTGCAGCAGCCGTGAGATCTAGGGGGAACCCCAGAGCATTAGGGGCAGCTCTTGTGCTTCCCTCCTCACCTTCTCAAGGCCCCAGCTCACCAGGTCTTTGACGGTGTTCGAGCGGTCATCCCACTCAGGTGAACTAAACTGGTACCGGCCCTCCATGATCATGCGTAACATCAGGATCTGGCGCCGGTGCCAGAATGGTGGTGAGCCAGCCAGGAGTGTGAACAAGATCACCCCGCAGGCCCAGCTAAGAAAGAGACCAGAGTCAGGTAGCACTCGGTGACAGGCAACATGTTGAAGTACTCAAGGGAGGATGAGGGGCACCAGAGACTCACAGGTCGACCTCCTTGCCGTAACCGGGATGGGTTTCATCCATGGAGCATTTAAGGATCTCTGGTGCTAGATACCCTGGGGTCCCACACAGTTCTGGGAAGAAATGGGTGAGATTGACGGGATGCCACCAATGCCCTGCAAACCAGAGGCACCAGACCCTACAACTCTTAGACCTCTGCTGGTGCCGCACCTCATGTCAACTCACACACCCACTAAGACTCCTGGTGAAGACCTGATACTTGGGTGGACTTCGAGGTCCTACCCACCTGCTCCAATCACTCGCCTGCTCCAACACACCAGCCAAGCCTACCTACCTACCTCTCACACAATGTTACCACATTTTTACACACCTAATACACATGTAAAACAAAATTTAAATCTTTTCTACATTCCTTTCTGCCCAAATCTCCCTTTCCTCCTACAGTGTCTAGTTCATGGAACCACCACTCAAACCAAAGAAAATGAATGGGAATGTGGGATTTGGTAATGCATATATTGGGTAAGATCCTTGCTAAAATATTTTCTTGTCTCCCCCTTGTGACCTCATGGTCAAGTCTGGATTCCTATAGTACTTATAGTACAGACCCTTGATAACTTGATTCAATACTGTATTTGAGTCTCTTCCACCACTTCAGGCACCAACTCTTTCATCCCAGCAATTTCTAAACTGTAAACCATGGCAAACTTCCAGGAAATATTAATAGGCCTAACCAGAAAATGACTTTCTTGGGAAATTGATTCTTACACCAAATGTTTATTAAATATCCATCTTGTACCAAGCACATACTAGACACAGTGGTGACTGATACACACCCTGACCAAGCTCTTTACCAGAAAGCAAACAAGAAATTATAGGCTAAGTTGTGTGTCACAAAGAACAGAAAATGGGGGGGCCTCCCTGGTTGGGCCTGAGTTAAAGGCAGTGCTATCAAGCTATCCATAGCCACTGCAGCATGAGTTGGATCCCCAGACATGGAGGTGACTCACATGGTGCAGCAGACCTCTCCTGTCTCCCCTGCTGTATATCTCAGTACTGCTGTCTGTTCTGCTTCCGACTCCGGTGAATCCGCTCACCTTCCCACACCTCTGGCCTACACCCCAGTTTTTGTATGCATTAAAAAAATCTTTAAAAAACAAAAAACAGGTTATTTAATGTGACCTAGTGCTTTAAAGTTGCACTTTAAATTTAATTAATTACTCAAGTCAAGTGAAAGGGGCAGGGGTGAAGATGCTTCCAGAATGGGGAAAAGTATATATGGAAGCCCAGAGAGAGAGAAAGCACAGGTTAAGAGCTGGGACCAACTCTGAGCCAACTTCGATTCTCTAAGCCCATCTGTAAAATGGAGATGTAATCTATCTCAATTTGTTGAGAGGAAAGCCAGGTAAAGACTACTGGCTCCTAGTGGTGAAGTGCTCAGTGACTTGCTATTGGTTCTATGCAAAATTACGCAGTTCAACATTCTTTGGTTTTCTATTTGTACTGAAAATACTTCTGTCATGACAAAGCAACTAACACTGGGTGAACCCGAGTCCCAGGGCAGCTGTGAGAAGTGCTGTCCGGCCAGATCAGGTTCTCATGGCACACAAGTGTCTTACTATCGTTCCACCTCTACCAGACTCCAAATGGCTACTGAACCCAGCTATTCCACGCTCCCTTTATTTCTGGGACAAGTCCAGTTCTCCAAGACCCCTTTTGGGTGCCCCCTCCTCAAGACTCCTCTCTAGCTGACACAGGTGGTTGCTGGCTTCCCCAGCACGCTGGTGCCACTCTCTTTTCTCATTGGTCTGTCATCATCCCCAGGCCAGGAAGACCACTCTAAGTTACACTCAGCAAGTACTGACTTCTTCCCTTTGGTACCTGGGACTGAGTATTCAGACCAGCTAACCAGCCTCAGGTTTGGACTTTCTTTCCTCCCAAGCCTATTCGGGCACCAGATCCCCTCACCTCGAAGCTTCTCTCCAGGTTCCAAGTGGCAGGAGAACCCAAAATCTGAAAGTCGTATCTGCATGTGGTCATCCAGGAGAATATTCTCAGGCTTCAGGTCTCGGTGCACAATGTTGTTGGCATGAAGAAAGCTCACTGCTTCCAGCAGAGACCTCATGATGGACCTAGGGGAGGTACAATCTCCTTTGCTTCTCCCTGCCCTGCCCCACTCCCTCCTCACCTCTGGGGTTGCAGGCTCCATCATTACCTGGCTTCCTTTTCTGAGAGGGCCACCTTCTCTGTAAGATAGTCAAACAGCTCTCCCTTCCGCATCCTAAGGAACAGGAGGTCTTGGGAGGTAGGTACACCCCATAGTGGGGGCTGAAAAAGTAAACCATTGCTCACAGAATACCACGGAAGAAATCAGTAGAGATCCTCTGTAGACAAACTACAGGGTCGCCAAGTACTCCAAGAGTAAACTGCATGTGAGGGTGGGTCAGTCTGGCCCACTGTGCTGGCAACTGAAATAGCTACAGTGCCACAATGGGCTGTTTTAGCAAGAAGTGTGTTTTTCTAACAGTATTTTACAGGAGGTCCTTGTTATCTATTTTTAAAAAGCCTCTGAAGTGTATCTATTTAGACCACAGACCAAAATTTCTGTTAATAGTGGCAAAAATATGGAATAGGGCTTTATTTTGAATTTGTTAATTTTAATCTTTTTTTTTTAAATACACAATTCCAACATTTGAAATAAAAACACATGAGATGTCTGGGGATCAATGTTCTGCAAAGCTGCATGATGGTGTAAAGGACACTTCCTCATCTGACTTACAAACATTGATGACTTCTTGAATTTTTCCTAAGAGCCTTGGAAATGGTTGGTATTCAAACTATTCTCTTCTGAAGTACCTCTGCAGTGGGCTTGTGTTACATTGTGTAACATCTGAGATTCACACTGACCAGAAAAAGAACTGATGGGCAGAAACAGTGTAGGGTACTAAACAATGAGACTGGTGAGAACTGAGTGGTCAGTTCATGGATGAACACCTGCCTCTTAAAATAACATTTACTTCTCTGCTAACCTTGCAACCATAAGAGACTGGGATAGTGACCCCCTGGGTCATGAAAACCCTTTGGATTTAACTTGTCACTACTACTCTTGAAGAGCTTGCCATAATCTGGGAAGCCAGGGAGAGGGGCCAGAGCCAGAGACTGGCAGTCCAGGCCCCAGCTGGAGCAGAGGTGGTGTAAGCAGTGTGGTCTTTAGCTCACTAGTGGCCTTATAAGGCTGGCGCCACGCATGGAAGTGAGGTGGAGGAGACTTTTGGATTGGGGCAGGGAGATACTCACAGGTCAAACACCAGGAACATGAAGCTAGAAGACTCGTAGGAATCGATGAGAGTGACTGGGAAAAGAAGCAGAAAGGCAGAGAGAGAGATGGAAAGGAGCGACCTGCATATTAAAGGGCTGTTCACCTTGATACAGCTGTGGGCTATGCCTGGGGAGGGAGGGCCAGAGGAAACAAAGAGCACCCACAGGCTGACCCACTCTGAGGTGGAGCAGAGCCAGGTAACAGGAGCAGAGGCATGAAGGGCTTGCAGGTGGAGGTAATGGACTGAGGGGAGGGCCAGGAGGTGATCAGCAGCTAACAGGAGTGGGGAATGCAGCCTCACTGATGTGGGGGTGGCCAGCGACCTGGCGAAGGATGTGCGTCTCTCGCCGAGTGGCTTCTCGCACCTCCTCCAGCTGCTCAGGACTCAGTCGCTCGGCTGTCACCTCCATGATCTTCACCGCAAACTCATGGCCAGTAGCTCGATGAATGCAACGGCGGACTACAGAGCTCACTCCTCTGCCAGAGCCAGACAGTGCAAGAGTTAGGGTCTCCTGCTTTTTCCACGCCAAGTGAAGCCTCAGCATCCTCACACCTACTATACCATATTTAATTCATTTTTTAATGATTTATTTATGAACACAAGAACCGGGGTACAGGCCAGAGGTGCAGTGATGGGGTGAGAGCATTCACCAGAGTCAGAGCGGGGGAACAGAACAGGCAGATCAACTTAAATATACTACTGAGGGAAGCAGTGGGAGAGACAGAAGTCTGCTGTGCCATGTGAGTCACCACCCATAAATTCAGGGATTGAATTTGTGCTGCACACAGCATGGACTCATGGTTTCTCTTGTGGCCTGGTGCACCATGTGGGTCAGCTCCCGGACAGGGGATCAAACTTGTGCTGCAGTGGCTTTGGAGAGCTTCATAATGTAGTGCTTTAACCCGCTGCACCACCAGGAGAACCCCTATGCCAGATTTTAAAGATCCATCTGGACAAGTTCACCCTGGTCTACAGTAGCTTCCAGTAACCTCAGTGAGCAACTGAGCGCTCAGCAAGGTGCAACGCAAACCCAAATCCTGTCTCTGCCACTCCCTTCCTGGGTAAGCCTAGGCACGTCCTTTCTATACCAAGTCCCAGAATCTGCCTCTTGTCTTGGGAACACGAGAAAAAGGTGGGAAGAAATGACCCAAGACTCCTTCCAAATTTTACTCATGATTCCTGATTACCCACCCAAATCCTAAAGTTCCCAACACAATACTCAATCAAGTATAGGAGGCCACTGACTGGAAGAACAAAGTTGCGAATTATGAGATCTTGGTTTAGGTCCCCAATTTGTCACTAATTAACCTCCAACTGATCCTCTGACATAAAGTCTCTGGGTTCTGAAATGTGTTCAGTTCATTTCACTTCACAGTTTTGAAATGTGGCCAACAGCATCTTGCTGGGATGTCAAGGCATGAAAAGCAGTAATTAAGCTAGGGCAGGATAGGTCATTACCCCATTTGCTGCACTCCTTGGCAGTGGGGTTCACTGCTCCGCCCTAGGGGCTCTTTGTAGGTCAGTGAACATGCCCTTACCTGGCCCCAAACCACCACAGCACCTCAGGAGTTGGTTCTCAGCTCCTTTCTTTCCCCAGTACTCTCCCCTGGTGACTGCCCTCCAGTCCTAAGGGTTCAAATACCTTCAAGCCTTGCTTTCTCTTCAAGATTCCTAATTCTTATGCCTTTTTGGCATCTTCATGCAATATCTGAACAAATTTAATGATCAGATTTGTTCATCTGCTTTCCTGGCCTCAGCAGCATTTGTCATAGCAGACCATGGTAACCTTCCAGAAGCACACTTTTTTTTTTGTATTTTGCTTTCCAATTCACAGACAGCATCTCCTTAGTCTCCTAAAAGGCTCCTCCTCTTACTGACACATATATGACATTAGGCCCCAGGGACTGAATCTAAGTCCTTTTCATTTCTCTGTCTATAGTCTCTTCCCAACCACTATCTGTATGCTGATGCTCCTGAAAAGCTGCAGCTCTAGTCTTAATTGCTCTCTTGAGTTCCAGATTCATACACCCACTGGAGAGCTCCAGTTAGCAATTTCAAACTTAACATTTCCAAAACGGAGCTCTTGGCTTGCTCACTCGTCTCCCCAATCTGATCCTCCATCCGTCCTCTTCATTTCAGTAAATGCTATACAAATACTCAAATCCAAACCTTTGAAGTTCTTTCCTATTCCTCATTGAATGTATTCAACCCTTCCAAAAATCATGCCAGATCTCCCTCTAATTTAACCAAACTCATCTACTCCTCTCCATCTCTACTACCCCACTGCAGTCAAAACTAGTGTGAATGAATCAACAGCTTCATAACTGGCCTTTTTACTTCCATCCGTGCCCCCTTCCTATTCATTCTCTACAGAAAAGCTAGAACAGGGGCCTCCCAGGTGCAGCAGGAGTTAAGTCTCGGTGCTATCAAGCTATTGCCAACCACAGTGGCATGAATTCAATCTTCTGCAGCATGAGTTCCATCCCTGGGCAGGGAGCTACCCACATAGCACAGCAAACTGCTCCTGTCTCACCTGCTACTCCCCTCAGTGTGTATTTCAGTCACTCTGTTCTGCTCCCCACTCTGTCTTAAGGGAATCCTCTCACCTGCTGTATCTCTGACCCAGACCCTAGTTCTCGTTTGTATAAACAAATAAATCTTAAAAAAAAAAGTTGGAATACTCTCCAAAACATAGTAAAATGTTTTGAACACTATAGTGAATATGTACCATGTGTGGGGAAGTGCTCTAAGAATATCATAATCTTTCCAACCTCCCAGCAACCTACAAGGTAGGATCTAATTTTATTCCCAATTTACAATGAAGAAACTGAGACAGAGGTTAAGTTCATAAACTCCAAATCACAGAAATGTAAATCAGAAACTGCTTGAAACCACTAGTTTCACAGAAATCCAAGGTCTTTATCGGATCCTACTGTTCTACATAATCTAATCATTACTTAACTCCAAATTAAGTTCCTCCACCTTATGCCACTCTTATTATATTCTAGCCACTAAGACCTTTTATTGCTTCAGTGGGCTCTTTCCTGCCCTGAGGTTTTTTGCACTTGCTGTCCCTTCTGCCTAGAACATATTCTGCCTCAATTCATGACCTGCCCCATTCTTCAAGTCTCAGCTTCATTAGTTACTCTTGTCCCATCACCTTACACTGATCTTTACACTGTTTTCATGTTCATTGTCTGTCTGTACCACTAGACCACTATAAACTCCAGAACAGAAACAAAAGTTTCAGTGTCCAGCACATTGTACTCAAGAAGGCTCCGATGATGAATAAGTGCATTCGCCACTGCCTCTACAGTTGTGGCCTTCATTCTACTTTCTCCATGCTGAACTCCCACTCATCCTTCAAGACCCAAGTATCAGCTCTTCAGGAAGCTGTGATTTTCCAAGACCTCTAACACATCCTGATGCTTTCTTAGTATTATGTCTCTTTCAGTTACTTCACTGGCATAAACATCTTTTCTACCATCCCGGTGTTTTGCTTTGTATGCCACATTGATGTTTCTTCAACTGTGTTTGTTGAACACATAAAACAAGATGTGAATAGGTAGGATCAGTGGTTAGTGGATGTTCCTCCACTAACCACTAAATAGAACGATCCAGTTCTCAGATGGAAGTGTGTATCCTAAGACCGGACTTCTTTGGATCTGTTTTCCTGGCCATGACCTCACCTGCCAATGATGTCCTTAGGGTCGTATTTCTGGTAAAATTCCTTGGCCGCTGCCCAGTCGGGCAGCTCATCCTCCGCACCCACGTCCAGCGTCATTCTGCAGGAGGAGCGGACCTGTGCAGAGGAAAGGGAGGACTGTGAGGGCAGCGAGGCCCACACGCTCTGAGAAGATGCACATCGCGACTCGCGGAGGCGCAGCCCTTGCGGCTGGGGAGCCAGGGTCCTGGGGGTTGGGAACGGGGTAGGGGAAGGATCGGGATCGAGGGGACCCCGCGAAAGGGTCTAGGGAGCGGGAGGGGTGACAGGGCTGGGAGGGGGGCAGGGAAGGGGGAGGGGATAGGTGCGGTGAAAGAAGGGAAGGGGCACTCCAGCTGGAGGCTGTTGCTGCGCAAGCGCACTTGGGCGGGCTCTAGGCAGGGGCGCGGGGTCTCGCGCAGTCTCACCCGCGGGGGCGGGGAGAGAAGCTAGGGTCTATGGGAGACCGGTCTCTCCCTGGTTTCGCCTCTAGTCCCTTGATTTACCTCCAACAGTGCCGGTAATGATCTCAGGCCACGCCTTCATCTTGCCTAATGGCCAATGGCCAGCGCTGTCCGAAAACTGAAGTTCAAAAATCCTTCTGATTGGAAACTGGTAGCCCAATAGAAAGCTGCGTCCCGAGGCTAGGGCGGGCGTTGGAACGCGAAGTCAACGCAAGCGACGTTATGGCGGGATATGACCAATCAGCGCACGGCACCTGCTGGAGGCAGCGGGGGCGGAGCTTGTTGCTTATGTTTTGAGAGGCCAAGGGTGGGAACCGGAAATTAAGCTCCCCCGGAAGTAGGGCCTCTGGGTAGCTGGTTGCTTGACTTACTGTGCCTGGGATTCCCAGTCATGGGCTTTTCGCCGCGGCCCCTCATTATTCTCCCATCTTAAGTAGGCTTTTCTAACATTAGCAATCTGGTCCAAAGCGCCCGTCTTGAGGGTCAGATCCAGCCCCTATGATGCTCATAAGCAGTTTGGACCGCTGTTTAGCCAGATAGTTCGAACCTGGACGAGCTTCATCCTGCGGCTCTGACTCTCAGCCCTGATGCTCACCAGCCGGGATTTTAAAGTTTCCCAGTTTTCAACCACCCCCTGCTAAAAGCCACTGACTATTAAAAACACACTGTTCTCTAAGCCTATCAGGTTGTGAGATTTTTGTGAGTAACTTCATTAGCCTGCCCAGTGCACAGGTCAACCTTGGCATTCACTTATTCAGCAAATACTGACGGGTCCACACTTACAGCAATGAAAAAAAAAAGTCCCTACCTTTGTGTAAGTTAGGTACCAGCAAAAGGGGCACAGAATGAAGTCATTTAATCTTCAGAATGTCGTTTTGGGTAAGGAATGAACAGTCACGTTTCCTTTCTTAGATGTTTAACCTCTCTCCTGCCTCTTTCTGGTAAGCTCATGGCCCAGCACTAGCTGGTATACAAGGGGAAAAATGAACCCAAGTAACTTTTTAATGGACTACTTTTTGACTTGTATTAAGTCAAAACACAAAATTGCAAAAAAAAAAAAATCTTACTTAGGCATATTTGGTAATGGGGTAATCTTTGAAATTGAACAAATGAATAAATACACTGATGTAGTTGGCAGCCAAAGTTCTTGCCAGATGAATATAGATAGACTGGGGCAAGAAGAGAAAGCTTGAGTGAAATTGTTGTGATTTTTGAAACAGAATTAGGTATTTTCTAACTTCTGAGAAGTCTGGAAGCACAATATTCCAATAAGATGAACGTAGCTAGTTATCTACTGATTTCAGAGTAGCAGTCCCCAGGAAAAAGAACAGGGTTCCTTAGAAGGAAGGATTCCCATGCTGGCCCAGAGGAAGTATGACTCATGCCAAAGAATAAGAGAAAAGACTTATCAGAGTGATTTAACAACCAGGTTGAAGTGTTTTGTTCTTAAAATGAGTAACAAGAAAATGAGACTGAAATGGCCATACATGAACCTTCTGATAGGCTGGAAACACAGTTCACTTACATAGTGACTAACAAATATGGTCACATAAAACACTCATCACCTGTATACCTAAGAGGTGTACCCTTTGGACCCTTCCTGGCGGCACAAGGATTAAAGCACAGCACAGTGAGGCTGTCCACAACCACTGCAACACAATTTTGATATCCAGCCAGGGAGGTGACCCACATGGCATGGCAAGACCTCTTCTGAGAGCCTGCTGCTCCCCTCAGTAGTGTATTTCAGCACATCTGCCTGTTCTGCTCCCCACTCTGTCTCTAGTGAACCTTCTCACCCCTCACACCTCTGGCCTGTACCCCAGCTCTGTATGCATAAATAAGTCTTTTAAAAATAATAATAAAATAAATTGAACAGCAATAAAAAATCTGAGGCCACGCTGACACTAAAAATTTCAAATAAACAAGAAAAATCTTAACAGAATGCCAACTAATATAGAAAGAATGATAAAAACATTTTGTAAGCCTCATAATAACTGAGTTGAGAAAATATTAAAATTTTGGTGAAAATTTGCTGGTGAACCAGATACTAATAATTTTTAATTACAGAAGAAAAAACTATCTTTAAGAAATCTGACAGACACTAATCAGATTATTAATGTTACCATTACCAAGAGGGAGGAATGGCACAATAGGCCTCCTCCTGATTGTGAGTAGAGGACACATTAAAATAGTTCTACCAAAAATTCAGAATCTGAAACCAATCCTAAGAACCCAATTTGAGGTACCTCACTTCAAAAATGTCATGAAAGACAAAAAAAAAAAAAAAAAGGATGAGGACCATTTCAAAATTGAAGATGATAAAACAATTAAATGCAATAAGTGTTCCTACACTGGATCCTAAAGCAGAAATCACTATCAAGGATGTTACTGGGATAATAATACATTTGAACTTCTCTGAATTATGTAATTGTACTGAAGTTATATGAAAGAGTATCCTTGTTCTCAGGGGCTAAATCATGATATATTTAGGTGTGAAGAGTGTTCTTCACAACTTAACCTCAAGTGTATCAGGATTTGTACATTTAGAAAATATAAAAGTGATGAAATATTAAGAATGATAAATCTAAGCAAAGAGGACATGACCAGTATTTTACTGTTCTGTGAGTTTGAAATAACTTCATAATAGTTTAAAAAATAACTGATTATCTTATTTAATCAATTTGGGGGAATGGGGTATTCTCATCTAACAAAATGATACTGATTACTCAAATATTAGCTTTTAAAGATCCTGTAAAAATCCTCTCCAACATACATTATCCTGATGCCTAGGAAGCACTTCACACCAATGAAATCTCTGAAGGGTAAAGAGAAGCTTAAGTATTTTTTAAGTCTCTCCAGGTTTTTTCAATGTGAAGTCAAATCTGAGAATCACTGCCCTGTATGTGGATTCTGCTCAATGTTATTCCAGCTTCTGGGACCAACAATGGGATTCTTTTCCCTCCCCCCCAACCCCCCGAAGATCAGTGTGCACCTCTCTTCAGTGTGCAACAGCTTTAATTCCTTTAGACTTTCTGCTTGTCTGAGTTATAATGAAGAAACAAAAAAATTCCATTCTCAAGAGCACATGTACATCAAGCGACACCTACAAGAACATTCACAGTGGGATTCATATTATCACCAAATTGAAAACATTTAGGATGTTCTCCAGGGGGCAAAAGTGAAAAGAATCCATTGCTGGTCCAAGCTCGAATGATAACACATAGAATCCGCATACAGGGCAGTGATTCTCAGATTTGACTTCACATTGGAACCACCTGGATTGCAATATATTCATATAATGCAATACTATACAGTAACAAAAACTACAACTACAGCAAATACTGATTAACCTCACATGGTAAAATAAAAGATAGACAAAAGGAACAGGATTCTACTTATACAGTATTCAAATGCAGGTACAACTACATTGTTAGAAGTCAATGTAATTCCTACAGGAAGGAATAGACACTGGGTGGGATAAAGGAGGTTTTGCAATGCTGCCAGTGTTCAATTTATTGACCAAAAACTGGCTTTTCAGATGTCTGTGTTCCTTTACTGAGCCTCATATTTTGAATATTTTCCTATATTTTGAGATAGATATCACAATTTTGAGAATGTTTAAAATATTACCATGACAGCCAAGATTACTTCATATACAGGATAATGGTTTCTTGTTATCCAATTATTTCACTCCTCTCTCAGCTATGGAACCACATCTGAGTCCAATCCCAGTTCTATCCCTTACTATGCGACTATGGGTAATCTGAGCCTTTTTCTCAACAATAAAATGAGTGGTTCTGAGGACTAATGGAGTTAAGAAATATAAAGTGCTTAGAGCACAACTGGGATATAGTAAATACTCATTAAATAGCTGGGGCTACTATCCTTCCTCTCTGGCTTCAGGCTCTCTGTGGATGTGGAAGCAGCAGCTGGGATCTTTGCAAAGCAAAAAGAAAAGTCCCTTCCTTCTCTTAGCACTCTTAGGGGAGATGCAGACTTCTGCTTTCCGTCAGATGTCCAGAGTGGCTCTCACCAAGGACCCAGGAAAAAGCATGGGATGAACAATTAGACAGGAGCAGTTCACTAATAAAAAAGGTTTTTATTACAAAACAAATTCTAATAAAATCAGGCCTGGTATCCAACCCCACTCTAGGTGAAGACCCCTAGAGTGAGGTGGGGGCGCATAGAGGTGGTGGGCACTGGAAGAAGAGTAGGCTGACCTTCCCCCTCATCAGTCTCAACTACTACCTTCCTTTTGTAATAACTAAAAAAGCTCTTCCAAAACCCTTTGAGAGGCACCATCCTCCCAGCCAGGAAGGACCACTGTTAATACCAGTCCTATAGCAATGTCGCACTGCAGGATCCAGGAGGTCTCGACTGACTCGGGAGAGGACACCCAGGGTCATTCAGCCTGGGCGATGGTGTAGGAGAGCAGCCACAGCAGCAAGGGGCCCAGGATAAGAACAGCAAGCCAGACAGCAAAGCTAGCCAGGATGAACCTCCGGGCCCGGGCCCCCCAGTGCACTGCTTCCTCCAACTGGCCTCTCTTATGCCGCTCTTCTGCCTGTAGGGGCAAGTTTTTGGTTAGGTTTTCCCCCTGCTCTGCCCCAAAGAACGTTTGCCTCACTCCACTCCTCCAAACCTGCCATGGCTCAAGACCTCATACCCAAATCCTCTAACTCCTTCTCTGATATCTCTCATCCCTTACCTGCAAAGTAAGGAGCCCATTTACCTTGCCTACTGTTCAGAGTGGCTATTGTTAGCTTATAAGGCTGCAGATGGAAAGTACAGTGATACTCACAGAAGTACTTTTCAATTCTCTTATCTTCCTCTCCTTCCTTTTCTACTCATGCCAGGTCCACTCAGAATCTGGATTTGTTGGCAAAAAGGTAACTTCCTTGGATATTTAATTCATGTCCAATCAAGTGACATTCCATCCTCATAAGCCTGATGGGCCTTACCTTTTTCATTATTAAGAATATTTTGATCATTTTGCCCTAATGAAACCCAGAAATTGTTATGCTAGGAATAGTTCTAAGTATTAAAATACAATTAGGCTGAAAAATTCAAGTGTGGTATGTAAGCTAACCTGTGTTGCCTTTTTACACATAAGGCAGCTTTTGTAAAGTGTTCTGAAATGGCAAAGTCCTTTCAAACATCCCATAGCTTCGCCCAGATTATGGCTTGCAAACATCCCATAGCTCCTAGAGATTACTGTTGGCTGCCTCCAGTCTTGCTCCTTCCAATTCAACTTCTATGTAGGCCTTGGGAGTAAATGTGCTGAAATACAAATCTGACCATGTCTCTGTTCTCTGCAAAAACCCTTTAATGGCTCCCCAGTATTTTCAAGATCATGGGAATCTAAGCACTTGTGCTTAACCTCTTATTGCTCGCTTTACCTTATGTCCTTTCAATCCTATTCATTTATCCTTTAAAGTTACTTTCCTATCATATCCCCTAAGGTGACATTTCTGTCATCTACTTCATTATGCATACATAATCACACACATCTATCATCCCTGGCTCACAGAATACCCTGTGCTTCCTCACCATAGTATTGCTAAGATGCATTTCCTATTAGCATTTTCACAGCTCTTAGGCTGTGGGCCCTGATGGCAGAAAATGTCTCATTTTTATTTCCAGCACAGAGCCAAACTCTGATAGGTACTTAGCAACTGATGGGTATGGATTATTCAGATATAGGAAACTACTGCCTTACTATCCCCACCATCCCACTCTCCCCCCACTCCCATAGGAGTTGCATTCCTCACCTTGATGGCAAAAACAAGGGCCACAACTCCCAGGCAAGAGCAGCCACAGATAATGCTAGTAGCTGCCAAGTAGCGGAGGCGGAGCCAGCAGCAACGGATGGGGGATGGAGAATGAGCAGCTTCCGTGTTGCACACCAAGCTCTCCACTGCCTTCTCCTCGTCCTCCATCACCTGTGGGCGATAGTCACAGTATCTGTAAACTCAACTGAGTTCTTCATCTAGCTTGCTCAGACTCCACCCCTTTTGTGATCATGTCTTTGTGGCTTAGCTCAACTCTCTGGAATGCTGCCTTACCAGGTAATTCCTATGACTCATAGACTAAGAAGGTAAATGAGTGATTAGAACCTTTACTCATCAACACAACTCCAAGTCTTTAAGAGCAAGCCAGTGTGAACATAGAATTATGTGCATTACTTATTAAGTGGGGAGAAGCAAAATAACAAATGCATACTAAGCAGGAGAAAAACAAAAACTCAAAAGTTGCTAGGAACCTGAGACTATCCAAATCAGTGTTTTTAAACTATTTCAAGGGGTCCTAAAGTGTCCTTCAGGTTGCCCCCTTAATATTTAAGGGCCAAAAAAGGGAAACCAGGCCCTTGGAACAACTTCAAGAAAAATAGCTCTCCCATGTGAAAACACAATACTGGAGATGGGGGAGAAGGAAAAAGCAACCATCAAAAGTTTTCGTTTGCAGCTGAGAAAACTCCCAAGTTGGGAATGTCCTTTGCTATGTCAACTCCCAGCCTCCTCCTCAACCCAAGCAACACAAGATGCAGTTTGAATGACCTCATTACTCTCTGAAGCCTGCAAAATGGTGTCCTAGTTAATTATTTTCTATTTCTCAAGTCTTCTTAGCTCCAGTTATCTAACTACATTTCTACCCTCATCTCCTAACAATTCCCCTACATCCTAAACAAAAGCAGTGCATATGCAATTATCAACACAAAGGATAGAAAGCGTGAAAGAACAAGATAAGCAGAGAATGTGCCACAAGGCTGCTAGACTGTGAGGCAAGAACTCATGAGAGATCACGGGGAAGGGGGTCCACAGAGTTCAGCTCAGGGGAAGGGGGTCCACAGAGTTCAGCTCAGAGAAAACGTGAGGAACAGGGGTTCTTACCTGGCTACCGGCCTCAGCGACTTTGAGTTTCGGCTCCTGGCGGGTTTGATTTGACTTGGGTGGAGATGGAGCTGACTCAGGGCTCCAAGCCAAGCCCGGGGGTGGGGTTGAGTGGCCAGTCACCACCTTAAGAGCCCACAAGCTCAGAAGGGGGTGTGACTGACACAAACCAGTTCGGCTAGACTGAGAAAAGTGAGGGGTAGGAGGATGGAAAACTAGAGGTAGGATGCCTACCTTCTGGAAAAGTAAAAGCGCCTGAGCAAGAGGAATAAAAAGGAACCATTGGAAGCACCAGAGAGCACTCTGAGGGGGAAGATCAGTAAGTAAGGGGACAGGAGAGGAAAAGTATGACTTAAACTTTAGGGAATTTCACGCTACTAGCTCAGATTTGCCAATCTTCCCCCTTCTTGGGTGGAAATTCCTGCATCAGAGATACAGAATTCTGGATTAAAGATGAGGTCCTAGGGTTTTGGCAAAAGCGAGAGGGAAAAAGTAATGCCCAGGTTCCCACCCAACCCTCCACCAGACCAGAAAATCAGAAGCTTCCTTACGCGGATGCTCATACAGAAACTAAGTTTATTATTTTTTTCTTCTTAAAAAAAAAAAAGGAAAAAAAACTCATTGTAGAGAAGCCCCTCCCCTTTCCCCTAAGGGTGGGGGGCTGTGAAAGATAGCTGGGGAATCAAGTACAAGGGGGTGGGGACAGAGACTATCTTGCCACCCTTAACACTGCCCAGCCACGTGGGGTGGAAGGGAAGGGGATGTGTGAAGAGCCCCATTGACAACCAGTTGCCTACCCCCTACTTTGGTGGAAAGAAGGGAGAAGGCCCCTTAGTCTCCCTGGAGGCTTTCCCCCTCAAAAGACTTCAAGTAGTGGTTAAGAGTCAGGCCTGGTTGTGGAGGGAGAGGGACCATGGTGGAAAGCCTAGGCAGAGGGGCAGCCCACTCACGTCTTGGCCTTGCGGCCTCTGTGACTAATGGCAGGGCCAGCCAGGTGGGGAGGGGCACTGCTACGCAGGATGCGCTGGTCCCCTTGGTTAGTGGCCCCACCGAGCCGGCGGGAGCCAGGCCTCCGGCGTGGGGTCCCATCCCCTTCCTCCTCCTCACCTGAGGCTTCAGCCTCAGACTCTTCTACTGAGCCCTCAGGCCCCAAAGGACTGGGGGGCTGTAGACGACCCCGCTTTGTCAGCCCAGGTCCACCACCAACAGGGACCCCTGCCCGTTTTCGAGGCACCTTCTCAGTCTCTAGTGGGGGGACTAGAGACCCTGGACGCAGCCGGGTGGAGCGCAGTTTTGGAGCTATTGAGACCACAGGAGGTGTCAATTCTAACCCGCCTGGCCCACTATCTGCTAAATCCAAGTCATCCTGAATTACAGCCACCATCATGGACCCTTCACTCTTCCGTCCCCGAATCCCCTCTGCTTCGAGCCGCAGGCGGGCCAGGCGGGTGAGGGGGCGGCTTCCATCCTCATCAGAGGAACTACCCTCACTTTCCCCCTGGCCCTGGGGTTGTCGCCGCCTCCCCAATCCACAGCTCTCAAGGACAGAAGAGCTGTCACGGTCCAAGACAGGGAGCTGGCTAGGCCGAGGTGATGGTGGATTCTTGGGAGGTCGGCCCCGCTTCCGCTTGGGTGGGGATGATGAAATGGTAAGAGTTGTGACAGTGTTGGCGACAGTAGCAGTGGGACAGGCTAAGAGTGGTGGCAGCGGGAGTGGCTGTGTCCGGCTCTCTAAGTTGCCGTCCCCTGGAGAGGAAATGGTCCCAGGAGTGGGCAAATCTCGTGCCTTAGGGGGCCGCCCACGCCTTCTTTTCTCCACAGGTGATAGGATGATGGACTCCGGTCTGTGAACTGGCTGAGGTCCATGAGGCTGGGGACCAGGAACAAGCTGGGGTCCTAGAACAGGCTCCGCAACAATAAGGGTCTCAGCCCCAGGGACTTGGTCAGCCCCGTTGGTTTTTCCCTTAGAGGTGGATGAAGGTGCTTCATCTACCCCTCGCCCAGCATCTGCTGGAGACCTGTTCTTCTTGGGGGGCCTCCCCCTTCGACGTTTCACAGCAGGAGGGGTGATGGCAAGCAATACCCCTTCTCCATTCTCTGGACTGCCCCCACCAGTCACCCCCAGCTCGATGCGATGGCGAGCTATGAAGGGCTGCTGGGTTGGGGTGGGCAGTGTGGATGGAGGAGCTTCACAGGGCCCACTGGTGGGAGGTGAGGATTCTGGCCCTGACATGCTGCGGGTAGATGGGCTTCCTGGGCTGGCGCCAGTCTCAGAGACCCCAGGCACTAGGGTACTGGCAGTTGCCCGCTGCTGTCGCCGTCGCCTCACCAGTTCCTTTTCTTCTACCACAGTTACTAGTCGTCCTGGCAGCTTGCGGAGCACTTTAGGGCCTGGAGGCTGCCCTGGCCGACCAGCTCCTTGACCCCTAATTTCTACATCAGCACTGGTGCGACGCCGAGGAGGCCGGGCAGGTGAAGGACCTTCAGGTGATGAGGTGGCTGAGGATGAGGTTGATGGGGCTGCGACCTCAGCTGAAACAAGTTCCTGTGGCTTCTCTGGGCTGGAGATTGGAGTCTGGGCCTCCACCAGCTCTTCTGCTTTCTTGTCAGCCTCCAATGATTCCTGAAGTAGCTCATCAGATGCTGCTGAGGGTGGGAGATCCAGCCCATTGCTCTCACTCAAACACATGGGCGCCTCCTTCCCATCAGGCAGCACTGTGAGGATGGGCCCCTCAGCAGACTCTGGCACCTCCTGCTCTTGACCGTTGGGGATGCTGCCAGCCTCCAGAGTTGGGCTAGGTGCAGAAGAGGTGAGAGAAAGGTTCTTCTCTGACATAGGTAGGATCTCAACAGCAACGGGCAACAGATCCTTAGGGGGCACAAGAGTATGCAGGGAAGTTTCGGAACTGGCAATATCGGCCAGCTCTAGGGATTCGGCAGATGACAATGCTTGTGTACACAGCTCTGCCTCAGGCCCCAGTCCCAAAGGGAAGTTGGTGACTGGGGGGGAGACAGGTACAGAAGGTAGACCAAGCAAGGGAGGGGAAGAAGGAGTTATGAGAGAGGTTTGGGTTGGAGGTGGAGTATGAGCTGGTGGGGGGGTACAAGCAGGAGGAGGGGTACAGGCAGAAGAACAAGAGGAAGGAATCTGTGAAGGAGGAAGCGGGGGAGAAGGTAGGATATGGACAGGAAGTGTGGTCATTGGACTGGGGGCTGAAATGGGGATTGGGGCTGGGATTGAAACTGGGGTTGGGGCAGGGATTGTTGCAGAAACAGAAGTTGGAGTGGGCCGAGGTCTAGGTGATGGCCGGGGAATTCGTTCCCTGGCAGGGCTGCAGCGAGGGGGAGTGGAGGTGCTGCGGGCATGATGGGTGGATGTAACAGGAGTGTGGTTTGCCCCTTGAGTCTCAGCCCGGGCTCCACGAAGACGCTCACTGACGCGAGTCCCTGGCCTTTCAGGGGCCTTTGCCTTCTTACTGCGTCGGTGGCTGCCTCCACCAGTCCCACAGGAAACCTCATCCCCAGCCCCTGGCCCCTCCTCCTCCTCTTGGGGTAAGCGGAACACCTCCTCCTTGGCTTGGTCCAGGTCCTTGCGGGCAGCTTCCACTTGCTCCTACCAACAACAGAGCCCATGGGGTGGTCGGAGGGAGGCAAGCAGGGCGGGGAATAGCAGAAAGCAACAGCTTCCCACTTCTAGCCCCATCCCCTAGAAATACTCACTTCTGCCTGCTTGAGCTCCTCTCGGCTCACTTCTTCCAGTGAAGCTTCAAGGAATTTCATGGCATACCGCTCAATAGGAGTAAGCTGTAGGGAGGAACAGTGGTAGTAAACACTGGGGCCTGATGTCCAGGGCCTATCATTCTTGATTACGATTGCCAGGAAAAACAGAAAGGTCAGAGTTTAGGAGTTGTGGAAGGTTAAACTGAGATTAATCCAACTGACCTGTTCTACCAGGGCAGCAATTTCCTGCTCAGCCCGGGACATCTCCTCATCCTCAGCCCCAGGTCGACTAGACTCCTCTCCCTCACCAGCAGGAAATCCATCATTCTCATTAAATTCTGCAAGTTCAGCCACCTGTTCAGCCTTGGCCTGGGTAGCCGCACGAATATCTTCTTCATCCTCTGCCCGACATAATGCCTTGTGAGGATATGGAGGGAAAAACAAGAACACTTTACATTCTGTGATTTCATTCTGGGGAAAAGTTTACACCAAACCAGGTGTACAACAGAACTCAACTCTCTCTGAGTTCCTTGAGTTACTAAAGCAATGAAATGGATTAGATTAAAACTCCCATCAGAAACAAAAGAACTACTTGAGATTATCTCCTTTCCTTTTCCAATTAGTCTTAACTAGTTAAAAAAAAAAAGTCCCAGAAAATTTTAATAATAATAAAAAAAGCCACAATTATCTTTTGCACTGAAAATGGGCTAACCACATCTGATCATTATTGAGATGAATACCCAGGGACCTCACACCAAAATTACCAAGGGAAGTCGCCTACAGCATGCTCCGCAATGAGAGGAAGGTGCTTGATTATCTTTGCCATAATCTACACCTGTAGTAAATGTACAGCACTATGAAGCTGTCAGCAACCACTGCAGCACCAGTTCGATCCCCACTGGGGAGGTGACCCACATGGTGCAGCAGATCTCTACCATCTCACCCACTGGTCCTGTCAGCAATGTAGCTCAATAGATCTGCCTGTTCTGCTCTCCACTTTATCACTGATGAATCCTCTCATTTCCCCTCCCTGTCACTTTGACCTGTACTCTAGTTGTTGTATGCATAAATAAACACATCTTTTAAAAATATCATACATCATTATTTAAAAAGTAAGAATTTGTATCATATACAAAGCACTTCTTGGATCTATTGTTTCCTTTAGTCCTTAGTGACTTTCTTCTCATTAGTATTTTGATAAAGTTAAAAGTGAGGCT